TGTCCCAACTGCCTACCCATACATAAATACTTACCATTGTGTCCCAACTGCCTACCCATACATAAATACTTACCATTGTGTCCCAACTGCCTACCGTACTCAGCACACCATTGTGTCCCACCTGCCTACCGTACTCAGCACAGTAATATGATGTACAGGTTTGTAGCCTTAGAACAATACGCTATACCTGATGGCCTAGGTGTGCAGTAGGCTGTATTATTTAGGATGGTTTAAGTACTCTCTATGATGTCTGCACACTGACAAGATCACCTAACAAAGCATTACTCAAAAATACCCCCGTCATTAAGGAACACAGGACTGCATTTTCTTTTGTTCTTTTATGTTAGTCTTTTGGTGTACAGTTGTTGGAAACACTAATTCCCTACTAACTGACAGCACCCCATGCACCCTGATTCTCCTTAAAATGAAATCTTCCAAATTTCCAGACTCAGAACCACCTCTGGCAAGAACATTTTAACTTTAAATGATACATTTACCTCATTAATCTAAAGACGACCAGTAGATAGAGAATAAAATCCTACTGTAATACGAGTCTGCAGAATTCACAGTTATTAACTAATAATTATAATCTACAGGTGAACATATTTTCATCACTGATACAAAAAAAAACCTAAAGTAAATTGCATGTGTCTATGCTCAGTACCCTATTCAAAGAAGGTATATAGAGTCTCCACCTATCATGTCTCCAGTGAGCATTAAAAAAAGGTTACTAGCCCATGTTTGACAAGTATTGAACTGAATAATAAAAACACCATGATTTTTTATTTTAAAAATGCATTTGAGGCTCGGTGCCTGTAGCTCAGCAGCTGGGGCGCCAGCCACATATATGGGAGCTGGCAGGTTCAAACCCAGCCTGGACCTGCCAAACAGTAATGGCAACTACAACAAAAAAATAGCTGGGCATTGTGCCAGGCACCTGTAGTCCCAGCTACTTGGGAGGCAGAGGCAAGAGAATCAAGACTTAAGCCCAAGAATTTGAGGTTGCTGTGGGCTGTGACACCACAGCACCCTACTGAGGGTGACACAGTGAGACTTTGTCTCAAAAAAAAAAAAAAATACATTTGAAACATAAAAATCACATGACTTTTTTTCTGATTTGTACTTCTTCTTTTTTTTTTTTTTTTTTAGAGAGTTTCACGCTGTCTCCCTGGGTGGAGTGCTGTGGCATCATCGTAGCTCACAGCAACCTCAAACTCTTCAGCTAAAGTGATCATCTTGCCTAAACCTCCTGAGTAGCTGGGACTACAGGCACCTACCACAATGCCTGGCTAGTTTTTCTATTTTTAGTAGAGATGAGGTCTCGCTCTTGCTCAGTCTGGTCTTGAATTCCTGCGCTCAAACAATCCGCCTGCCTGGGTCTCTCAGAGTGCTAAGATTATAGGCATGAGCCACTAACACCGGCCTCTAATTTGTACTTTGATAATTAAAATAGCCACTTGACTGGGAAGGAATGATCAAATAACCAAAGGAAAAACATTTTATAGGGCTGATATACAAGTAATATTGAATATTTGGATGAGTTAATTAGAGCGACCTCTCACTTTTAACCATTTCTAATTTGAGGTGGGAACACTCTCCAAATATTCTTAGCCTCTTAGGCTTTGGGGGGCTTCTCCAGATAAGGGAAAAATTTGTGGTACAGAGTTCCATGTACATTAGCTAGAATTATTCATTCAACTAGAAAGACAATTTTGTATCCACTGTTACACAGAAAAATCAGAATGATAATTGGGAGAAGGCAAATCCTTAGAACAAACATTTATCCTCCACCAAAGTGAAAGATATTCTAGTACAACTGAGACCTCAGTAGGAAAATCCCTGCTGGTAACCCTGACACAGTGCCAATCATCTTTTATCCTGGACATTTGAAATAGGTAGAGACTAACCAAAAAAGAAAAAAGTGCTGAATAGTTGTTGTTATTTTATAGCCAAGATCCCTGAACTTTAAAGAGTATCAGATCTACTCAATTTCAACAGAAATTGACATTTAGGCTTGATTCTTGGATGAATTCTAATAATTCTTAAATTGTTAATCTGGCATGGTAAACAGCTCTGGGAACTTCTCTAGCTAATGGAGAAATCACTAACATGTACTAGAACTGACAGGATGCTTTCAAGTTGAAACTTGAGGCAGTGACTCTCTCCATGAAGTCGAACTTCCTTAGCAGAAGTCTTCACATTCAGACATAGGTATTATTTTAAGGCACTAATAATAAAAAGAATGGAAAAAGGGAGGAATGTCTGTCCGGAAATAAAAGACATTTTCAAAAACCAAGTCAGTCACCTGTCTGGCCTACTTCAACATCTGAACAGGACGGAGAGTTTAAAAGCTCTCATGGCTGATTCAGCTCTTTTCCACTCTGTCAGACAGACTTATTTGTATGTCTCAGATTTACATTTCCTCAAGAGGCAACAGAGAAAGACAGCAAGGATGTGGGAAAAAACAAAAAGCAAACAAATCTACTTTGTAGCCTAGTCTTATGATTAATGAATTGCATAATGATGGCACCGAGTCACACTCAGTGGCTGAAACTGTAACAAGGTTCAAACTATAACAAGGTGCTCTTTTCTATTATTATGAGGGAAAACTGTATAAGGATAATAAATTTTTCACAATTGGGCAAATGGAATTTATTAATGGCAAAGAGCAAATTCTGGAGAAAAAAGTCCACTCTAAAACCTCAGTTCCAGCAGGACCTCTCTACATCTTTCACTGAATTCAATCTTGCCATGAGAAGAAAACTAAATAAATAAAAACGGCGTTCAAGTCCGGTGAGCAGACAAATGCTAGTAAATGAGTGATGTGATTGCAGAGGCAGGTGCAGTGGGACAGGATTTACTTAAAGGAGAAATGCTTCCTGTGTGCACACACACACATGCACACACATACCCATACCTGTACACTCAGGCCAATTTAAAAAGCATGTATGTGGATAAGGCCCTGCCAACATGGTCAGGCACGAGCACAGTTACCCCATTGCCAAGTATTTCTACATAGGAAAGGACCTGATGCACATTACACGCCCGCAGACACGCGTGCACGGCGGCCAGCCTGGCTCACACAGGCTCAGATCCAGAGAATCCTTCTAGACCTGCTGCTTCTATCAGAATGGTTAGTAGCTGTGGGATTATATTCTTCTTGATGTGCAGGATTTTATCTTGCTTTTCTTTCCAGAAATCTCTCCTTTCCAATAGTATTAAATCAAGCCCTGGAGGGAATAATCTTGATTCTTCAATGGTCATAACTTAGAATAGGAGCTACGGGAATTAAAACTAGCAATAGTAATGGCCCCTGTGGGGTGGGGATGAAGTATTTCTGGATTTAAACAGTTCCTGGGCGAAAAAAAAAAAAAAAAAGCAGAGTTCTGGGTGGAGTTGGGAAACTTCCATGAAGGAGATGGAAATGTCTGAAAATCGATAAATCAACATAAACAAAATAAATGAATACAACTTACAGGGGTTTCAACTACATATCACTGCAATTAAGTTTGCTGATTGAAGTTCTGTTCTGATGCAGGGAACTGAAAGATAATAATTGATAATATTTCTTTTCAGAAAGACTCAGGTGGGAGTGACGTGGTGGGCATTGAGGCTGGAGTGAGACAGAGGCCTAAGGCTCAGGTCTTACTTCTAAGGTTTCTGCTTGCCTGACTTTGAAGGGAAGGGTGCTAAAGCAAAGGGATCAGCAGCTGGCAGCTCCGTAGTCCTGGAGGAAAGGGGTGTAATGGAAACCGAGCCAGCTATTGACTGCTTGTTGGTCTGTGAAACAATTTTGTAGGCAGCAATGGGCTGGGCCTCTGGAGTTGGCTCATCTTCTGGGCTATAGTGACGGGAATATTTGGATAAGGACTGGGGTCGGAATGATTTGCTAGCCATGGGGCCTGAAACACCTTCTTTCTGGAGCTGAGGTCCTTTGTTTCTGTCATTAGGATAGCTCCCAGGTTCCAGGGAGGATCCCTTGGGAGAGATGCTGTCAAGATGGTCTGCTGCTTGCATAGAAGGGGAGGGGAGGTTAGACTGTTGCGCAAAACCAGCCATACCATACTGACCTCGTACAGAGGTGTACACAGCTCTCTCAAGGCCTGAGAGCAAAGGGGTGTCACCTGTCTGACTGAGGAGACTGGCTTGTGCAGGCAACTCCTGGGAGGTGCTCTGGACAACAGTTAACTCCTCCATGCTCCTCTTCTTAGTAAATGGGGCTCTCAAAAATACATCTGCCTCCTCCAGCTGGGAAGAAGCCACACTGCCCTTGGAGACAAATGGGGCTTTGGAGAAAATGTCTGTGTCATCAGTTGGAAGCCTGGAGCTCCTGAACGGGGCTGTGGCAAAAACATCTGGCTCACCGAGACCATCAGTGGTTGGCTGTGTGGGAGCAGGGAACTGGTTCTTTCTTCCACCTTGTGCTGTCTTTGCTTGGTCAGTAGAGACTTCTGGAGGACTGAATGGAGTGGCTCCCCCCAGCTTCCCCTGGAGTGGCCTGCAGCTCTCATCCTCTTCTTCAGACTCCATAAGAAGAGGTCGAGACCCACTGCAGTCTAGCATGTCTCCCTCAAGGTCCGTCCCTTCCTCTTCACTACTGTGGAATGAGCTGTTGCTTGAAGGGCCATCTCTGGCCAAGTAGTCAGATTCTAAGTTGTTCTGAGTCTTTGCGTCAGGTACTCTGGATGGGTCTGGATACAGAGGAAGGCCTTTAACACCCGTCGATTCTTTAAAGTGCTCTACAGTTATTACAGGACAGGGATTGGACTCTCTCTGGAGACCTAGAAAAGCATAAAAATGCAGAATTAATGTGTAGGTCAGTTTAACTCATTTTGGAACATTTAATGCTCAACCCGCGGGACGAAATAATAGATGTTGAAAATGGAAAAGGAAAAACAGAAAAAAATAAAAGTCAAGGAAACTGCACACAAACTGGAACACAACCAATCACTATCTCACATTTTGGAACATGATAGGCACAAGGTACAGGAAAGGAGATGAAGATGTTAGGCACACAGACATTCAGCGTAACTATGCAATGCTCCTACTCGCGGGGCCAGGCACGGACACCTGCTCTACCTGGCGCTGGCTCGTAATGGAATGAAAACAAACCCAGTCACTCATCGCCACATATACCATGACAGTTTTGGATTATGTAGAAGCACTGTCTGGGGATGACTCAACTGATTATCTGGCATGTGGCTGTCTGTTCCACATGCAGAGGGTCAAACTCTCTGAAAAGAAGCAGAACATAGCTGCTGGAGAAATGCACGTTTACTGATGATTCACATCACAAACACGACTCAAAGAGCACCAGAGTGCCCAATGTATAAATACTGAAGGTACTTTCTGAGGGGAGGATACAGAATCAAAATCATACTAAGCAAGTCACCTTCAGCTGGAGTTGCCCTAGAATTTTGTTTTCAGTCTTCTAAGTTAGTAAAGATCTCCTCTGCTCAATGAATACATCATAAAGTTCATCAAGCAGAAGGAGTAAAATGCATGGCTTCTTAATTGTAGAAGTATTAGCTAACTCCAGTATACTAGTCTATTTCTATCTAGGTAGAGGTGCCTCCAGGTGCTCTGGCTTTTAAAATCAAATAGACAATTATCAGAATGCAAGAGAGCTTACCTTCCAAGAAATATTAGCAGGTTAGAAGTATGTCATTGGGCACATGTTAGCAAGAGGGCAGGAAAAAGGCATAATGTAACTAAGCAAGAAGAATCCAGAGTAAGGGTGGTTGGGGGTAAAGGTAGCATTTCATCATGGGCTCAGTAAAAAATACCAGTGGAGTCTCCCAACCCACCAGGATAAGAATATTAGGTACAATGATTTGGAGCCTTGGTGACTCAGAACCTTTGTACAGACTGGATTCAATCATTCCCTTCCCACAATGACCCTCTCCCCTCCTATGTAAACTGTTGGCTAGTAAAACTGTCTGCTAACAATTATCCCTGGCTAAAGCTTCTTCTTGAATTAAACACACAGACCACAACAAAAGAGGTATCAAAATCAGTTTATTGGGAAACCAGTCACTTAGAGAGATTACATTATAAAGAAAATATAGAGTGAGGGAGGTCTAAACATTTTATAGGATATTGTACAAAAATACTGTGTTTCTCTGAATCCTGTAACTTTAGCAGTACCTTTTAAACAGTTCTGACCTTAAATATCATTTTCAGAAACAAACAAAAATGTGTTTTTTCCTATTTTTATTCCATTTTCTAATAGTTTGAATGCATTCAGTGAATCCCAAATTAGAACACTAAGTTAAATTCTGTACTGATGCCAAATAGCTTTTCTGAATCGTATTGGAAAAATATGATTTGGGGCTGGGTGCGGTGGCTCATGCCTGTAATCCTAGCACTGTGGGAGGTCAAGGTGGGTAGATTGCTTGAGCTCAGGAGTTTGAGATCAGACTGAGCCAGAACGAGACCCCATCTCTTAAAAAAGAAATAAAGAAAGAAAAGAAAAGAAAAGAAAAGAAAAGAAAAGAAAAGAAAAGAAAAGAAAAGAGAAGAAATAGCTGGGCATCGTAGTGGGTGCCTGTAATCCCAGCTACTTGGGAGGCAGAGGCAAGAGGATCTCTTGAGCCCAAGAATTTGGGGTTGCTGTGAGCACTCTACTGAGGGCAACAAAGTGAGACTCTGTCTCGAAAAGAAAAATAAAAAAGAAAATACGATTCTGAAGCAAATTTTTCCTTGCATTACAACTTTAATAAGTGCAGCTAGGTGGTGATATGAAAGCATCAGTCAGCTGATAGGAAACAAGTGGAACACTTTCTCCCTTGCACTGCATGTGGAAAGACATAATACTAATTTTTCAGGCAACAGACTGGTATTAGGTTTGTCTGATACTGAGATGATTACTTCTGGGAGGAAATTCAAATGAAAGGGGGGGCAAAGAAGTCTTCCAAAAAGAATCTGCCAGGTCTTTTTTTTTCTGAGACAGAGTGTCAAGCTGTCGCCCTGAGTAGAGTGCTGTGGCGTCCACAGCTCACAGCAACCTCAAACTCTTGGGCTTAAGCGATTCTCTTGCCTCAGCCTCCCAAGTAGCTGGGACTACAGGTACGCACCACAACGCCTGGCTATTTTTTGTTGCAGTTGTCATTGTTCTTTAGCTGGCCCCAGCTGGGTTCAAACCCGCTAGCCTCAGTGTATGTGGCTGGTGCTGTACCCACTGAGCTACAGGTGCAGAGCCAGAATCTGCCAACTCTTAAAGAGGTACAAGATGTCCCTAAAACTCCTTCAGCCACCTTACTCACATAGTATGTGGCTGGACAAAGTTTCTAGTTGTCCTGACTAAAGCCCAATTTCTCATCTTCTAAAACTGCCCTGCAAATTGATGTGATTAAGCTGGTTCTTCAGAAGAACAAAATATCTTAGGGGAAAAAAATGGAAAACTTAATCAAGCCAATGACTAACTTTGACATAGATGTCAGTAACTGAAATGAACAACTAGTTTGACTGGAGTCAGTGTTTTTTTGAAATTTAACTTGAATTCAGTCAAAACAACTGTGTGCAGAGACTGGTAAAAAGCAGCTATTTATTGAAGCTGGGGCACTTTGGATGCCTGCAGTGCTAGGTGACATTTTCAGAACTGTGCAGCACCAAGGGTGTGCCCATATCCAAAGCTGGACAGGAGAGAAAAACATGCCTAACCCATCAAAACTATTACTGTTCAAAAGTGAGTTTCTGGTCAATAACCCATCTGGACAACCATCTGATTTAGAGCATATTCTGACCTTCATGTTAAGTAATGGGAAAACCGTACTTAAAATTCCAACAACTTTTAATAATTCACAACAGTCACCAAAAAAACACCATAATATCTATTTTGAAGGAAAAACTAGTCTCCTGTCCTTCAGAACAGAACCAAACCTATTTTCTATCTTCATTCAGCATCAATCAGCTTTGCAGGACTGGAAAAGTACATTTGAAGGATTCTTCTGAGAAGGCCAAGTCTCTCAAATTTCCATCCTTCTTCGAGGCGATGCAGTGTGACTGAGGCAGAGAGTAGGCACCCTTTGCAGCTTTCTAGGCCTGGCACTCTAAAGGGCAAAGAAGTGCCAGAGACCATACACAGGAGCCCTGACACCCTCATTCCTTTAGGGAATTTTGGTGGTGGCAGTACAAGTAACAAGGTAGTCAAGAGAAAGAGAAACTCCAAATAACTGTAAACAGAAGGTAGATTAAATCTTGTTGGCAGTTAAAGGTCTTTTTTGGACTATGTGAATATGTTCGTACAGGGAAAACATGTGTTTTCAGGGGGAGCAGTCCTGTATATGAAGATGGCCTTGTACCAACAGGAAAACACATTTGAAGCACTCTACCTCCTAGTGATGAAGAATTTATTCCAATTTAACAGTCTTGGCCCAGTTCCTGTGGTAACCGATGGCATGTCACAGAGGGTATTCTGTGACCACAGAGCTCTGTAAAGACAGCCTATTGTGCCTCAAGGGCTTGACCCCCTGGCCTGGATGCATGGTATGCACAAAGGTCTTACTTACTATGGAGTCTAAGGTAGGGTTTTGTTATGATTCCCTTAAACTTAAAAGAGGTCATACCTCTTTTTATTTTGGTTTAGCATATTAAATTAAGCAAGAAGTCAACACAGTTCTTTTTCTTGCTGATGTAGGATTGTGTGCCAGGTTAAGTACACTTTGATATATCCACTGAGGGTAATTCCTTATTAGTCTATTTTGATGCTCCAAATTATGTACACTTCTGTAAGAACTCACATGCTTCAGGGAATGGGAAAAGAGCCCCACATAGTACCTAATAGCTACTTGGCAATTATACTCACTAGCTCCTCACTAACTTCCAAACCAGTCAAAAGTGCTGAATTGTTTGGGATAAGTTTACCCTGTCAATTTCTAATTGACTCAGTGAAGGCCATCAGAGTACTCTCTACAGAATTAACTTTCAGGCTAGATATTCCTTAATGCAATACATCCTGTATGACCAGAATTATACTATTCCCCATACTGTAAACTGAAATAACAATTATAGGGAGTATTGAAGACATAATTCTTGCCAAAAACTGAAAATGAAGACTTGGAATACCGAGAAGCCTTCTCATATAGATAGTAATAGAATGCAAAACATCCCTTCTCAACAACTTCAGAGATTTAGCACCAATTGAAATTTTAAAGTATTGGAACCAAATCAGGGAATCAAGAGATGTACATCAAACTAATAATTTCCATGACCTTTGGGTTATATAATAAAATCATGCATTTGGTTCTGCCATCTGTTGGGTGGCTGCATTAAAATCCACGACTGGGAAATAAGGGACTTGATGGGTGCCAACTCTGGCTACTGATGCTGTGCTGTGCCTCTCAGATCAATGAGGCAATTAAGTGGGAACAAAATTGGTCTTGCCAACATAAAATGTTTAATTAAATTGGCCTGGGCATATTAAAGATGAAATGAGAGGAAGAAAGCTGCAAATCTGAGCTCAGCTGTACAACCCCATGTGTGGTCATAACAAATGTAGGCATGCAGGCACTTTATTCTCCTTGACTGCAGGGGGTTTATTCTCCAGGGTGGCCAGGACTCATTAAAATATCCTCAGTATGTCTCTCACACGCACCCATGACTTTCCTATGCACTGATACTACTGTCACTCAACAGTGTATTTAACTCCTTTCTGCAAAAGTAGGTTTTCAGCTCAGAGCAACAGCAGCTATTTTAACTAACTTACACTTCTAAACATCATGATCCCATTTGAACAGATAAAATCTTTATTCCCTTGTAGGTTTACATAGAAATTTCTTTACAGACTTATTTTTTATACAATACTTGCGTAGCAATGTTCAAATTTCACATTTTTACTGCATAAGATAGCTTCATGTACATCTTTTCTTTGTTTTCTTGGGGAGGACAGGTTAACGATCTATGGTAAATATACATCCATATGATAGAGGGGTGTGCATGAGGGCAGAGCAGAGAACTCTCAGGAAAAGAGTTAAAATTCAAGGTACTACATCAGAGTGGGAACCAAGAAAGTGTCTTCCATTCTAGCAACTACCACCATTTGGTAACTTCTTGCATAAGTCAGCATTACCCAAGGAGCCTCCCTCCCCCCATCACAGTGAAAGGAAACCCAGGAGAAGCAAAATAGTATCTTGTTACAGATTATATGAAATGGAGGAGGTCATTCTGGATTCATTCTGATTCAAAAAACCCAAGCACAACCAACTTCAGGAACAAATTAGTGTGGAAAAGGAAAAGGCTAACTTTGTGTTGGTAAAATTATAGTCTCTAGAGAGGAAAAGAAGATAAATTTGCAATATCTGGAGAGTAAAGATTGCATTCTAAATATTTATGTGATAGTTTTCCTGCAAATCTGGCCAAACTCTAATTTGTGTAACTCAGTACACTAGGCAATCCTGTCATTTTTATCCCAAAACTCTAAGTGGCCATAGGAACCTGATAATCTTACAGACCGGTGGTTCTCAACTTGTGGGTCACAACCCCTTTGTAACAATGAAAATACATCAGGCATTAGGAAGATTGAGAATCACTATTACAGACTGAGAGATTATCTGGGAGATCACAGAAAAACCTCATCATGGGAGACTTTATTTTAGCCCAAAGAATCTAAAGCATGTATTTATTCAGCTGCCTGGGGATCCCTCCACATCTCTAGGCTGCCATTCCTATGGCACCACTGATAGCAGAACTGTTCCTGATCTGGGGAAAGGAGATGTAGGTTTCAATCAAAATGATCAATTATCTATCAAGTGAGTAGGAAGTAAGTATTAAAAATAAAACAATATTGAGCTTTAAGAAAAATAGTTTCTTTTCTTGGGTTTGTTTTCCCCTAAGTATTGAGAATCCAAGTTCTATAATTCTAATTCAGGTAAAGCCAGGTCTACTACCAAATGACACTGACATTCCAGAGATATTTCAAGATCCATACCTTTCAATTTTATACATCATACTAACAACCAGGGAATCATAGAAGTTCTCTTATCTAGAATATTAAGAAAATCAAGACTTTCTGTTATAAGGTCCTCACTGGGAACTAACTGCCTGTGGATTATTCTTTTCACTATCTTCAATAGTAACCACTCTTCATCTTACAGGGGTGATTTTGCTTTTTGGAAAATAGCTAAATGTTACTCAGAGCAAAGAGTGGTGGAAAAAAGAGATAACAAAAGATCAAGAAAGCAATTTTAGATGCTAAAAATGGTACTACTTAGATAACACACTGACTTATACCATATTACCTTCTTTGATGTTATTTCTATGGAGAGGAGTTTCAAAAATAACTTAAATGATGGCAGCATCACCAGAATAAGTATTAACTTCCCAAGTAAAATAAGGTTTCAAAGGGAACAACTTTCAATTAGATGTCAAAATTCTGATATGTCTGCTCAAGAAATCATTAATTATAATGATTATAATTATACTTAGAAGTACCTATTTAAATCTTATCTCCTTTAAGGTCTGTATTTTTAAAAACAGTGGAACTTAAATTTGGCAAGATCTTGTTAGTTGAATGTTGTAAAGGCAATTAAAAAAAATCCAATTTGTGATGTTTTCTGGTATATGCACATAGTTACTATTCTTACACAGTTGTAATAAAAGCAAATAAAAAACATATGCGTATAGTATTTGCCCATTTTCAGAGGGCAGATCCCTGATTATACATTTAAGAAGACTTAAAATCTTCTGATTCTGTTTTATTAGAATAGGTAGGGGGTGAGGGTTGTGCACACATGCGTGTGTGTATTATTCAAAAAGAAAAATCTATATCCAAGTCTGTAATATTTAGGCTTTTCTTCATCTGATCAAGAAAGAGCAACCCAAGTTAGTAAAAACCTATAATTCTTTAAATTGTAAATACTGCTACAGTAATAGTAAGAACTACAGACAATAACTGAAGAACATCAGGATTATATAAATCCTTCACAGTCCTTCTAAATGTCATAATATATACTTAGGACCCTATACTCCTATAATCTTGAAGGCCATCTAGTCCAAAGTCATTGTTTACATAAAGAACAGCAGCTTTGAGAGGTGAAGTGCCTCCTGAAGGTCACCCAGCTGAGGCCTGACGAGGGGCAGGATGAGACGCTAGGGGGCATGTCCCACCCAGGCCTCTAATTCCTGTACCCTGCTCAATCTAGCTCAGGGCCTACACTTATAAAATGAAGAGGATGGACTAGTGATGGTTTGGAAGGCCCTCTCGTAGCTCAGTTTATGGTTCCACAGGTCTGTCGATTGCTAGCACATGATGTTCATCTTAAATAAGTTCTTTAAGTTCAGGGATGATGCTATAAACTAAGAAAGGCCCTGTTTATCAAAGCACTCACATGTATTCCTTAACAGAAAAATAGTTCTCTCCTTTATTTGACAAGATAATTTCTTGTCGTTATCACCCTTAGGCTTCTACCATAGTCTCTGGCTTCTAGTCTGTTCATTTTCATTAACTAGCTCCATTAAGCTTTATTGAGCCAAATGACTAGATAATATATCTCAATGTAATTATGGGTAATGCACGAAAGGAACAATTTAGAGATACCTAATTTCTAAACTGTCCTCTTCATGATTTTAACTAAATTGAGAAACTAGATATTTCATTATATTTTGAACATATATGTATGAAAAAAATTAAATATGAAAACATAGAAATGAAACATTATTCTTATTTTAAAAATAAACATTTTCTTCGTTAGTTTATACATTCTTTCTATGTCTAGGAAAGAGAATGCACTTCTGATGTGCAGCAACTTTCCTGTCCATGAAGGAGTAAACCAAGTCCTACTTTCACTGCTACCCAACATGGACAGTCTTGCATGGATCTTTTTTTAACCTTGTCAGGAAGCTTATGCCTCTCTCAATTTTGGAAATTAGTTAACCTAATAGAGGCCTTTACTTAGCTCACCTAGTTTCAGACAGCATGGGACGTATTTAAAGTCAGAAGGAAGACTGAAAATTCAGACTTTCCTTCTGATGCCTTTCAAAGGCTGCTCTCACATTACTGAGGTCAAAGCTTACCCTCCAGAGTGCAGAGTTTTGCAGGCTGTTGCTGCTATTAAACTTTCTTTTTTTCCCCCTTAAAGTGCAAATGTGAAAAAGAAACAAAAGTACTAGATACAGAAACAAGCAGATAGACTTGGAATTTTATTTGTACATATCTGATCAACTAAGAGTTTCCCTTTTGATCATGAACAACGGCACTAGAGGAAGAGAACAATGGGTTCTCTGTGCCTACTTCTTTTCAAAAGGGAGGTTTTATAAAAGTGCTTTCCGCATGAGGAAAAAAATACACTTTAGTAAGTACATATACATAGGGTGACCATGAGGCATGTAGTCATGTCAGTGCAGGGGCCTTTATTTATTTTATGAACAATATTCTATAGTTAATAAAGAACTACGCTTTATGTTGGTTTTGTTGTTGTTGTTGTTGTTTTTTAATCTAGGAAGCCAAGGAAAACCAACTGAACATATTCCTTTGGCTGCAGCCTTCAATTTAAACATCAGAGAGAAAGAAAGGTAAGCTGGGCACTGTCAAATTGTGTCCAGCTTGTCAGCACACTTATTTCTGATTATCTGAAAATATACAACATGCTTATTCTACAGAGACAGAGGACCTGCTGAAACCTTATAGCAACACACAAAGTCTACTCAGAATGATTCCATATGTTACACTGTAGGAATGCTGTGTAGTTATACAAGGGAAAGAGATCAAAACCCTGTACAGACACCTGATATCAGACTTGAAACGCCAAGTGGAAACAGAACTATTCAGCGTCTTCATTTATACACAATTTACAATATTTGATTCAAAATAAAAATCACAAGAAAAATACATCTGTTTCTGCTACAATTCCTTCCCCTTCCCCATCCTCCCCCCAGTGAAAAGTCTTCTAATAAAAGATATCATATTACCACCATTGTCTTGTTTTGGTCTGATTCTGAGATCCCAGCTTAGGACAGTTAACATGAAAAAGAATGGCAATACTTGGGTTTTATATAACACACACATTTTATCCAAGGATCTCAAGTACTTGCAGTCACATCTCCAGATCTGAGAAATCACGGTTCAATGGAAGCCAGAAAGCTGGACGAATGCTGGGCAGGTTGCATGGGTGTAAAATCCCTCGGCTAAGTCTATGATCAAACAAGGTCAAAGTTGCTTGGCTAGAGCTGGGCTCAGTTTGTCTTCTTAAAGATATACTATCAGTCAGTCAGTTTTACCCTCTCTTAAACTGCACACCCATCTCCAGGCTACTGCCTTGAGTTAAGATCAACTGAAGAAGTCATATCCTCATGAAAATGCATCAGGAAAAAAAGCAAAAACAGGGAAACACATTCATCAGCATCTGGCCAAAGAACACAGGGGTTGGAAGGACTGATTTGGGAGGCCATTCCTAGCAAGAATGAGACAAAGGTGTCAATTCACTAGTTTCAGTTACAGTTAAGCTCTTGGTGGAGTTGATTCCAGCAGAGGTGAAGCTCATGGCATCTAGCACTTAAGTTAATGCTATTGAAGAAGGGTTATGAGAAAACACAGCAAACTAACAAAGAGGAACTGGCCAAGGAGTATCTGGAGGGCCAAAGTGATTTTCTTTCCTTATCATTTCTATAGGAGAAGGCAAGGGGTAGGAGAAAAGGGCTGGAGGACCCCTTATTTGCAGATTTTTTTTAAAAAATCATTTTTCCCATAACTCCGTAATAAAAATGTATATTACGGTATGAAGGTTACAGAACTGCATCTGCTACTGGGTCACGGCTACAGGTCTATGAGCTGATCCACCAGCAGTAAAGACCTGGCTAGGTTGGGAAGACTGGACTCAGAGCTCCCACTGCTGTTTCTAGAGTGCCCACCTGGAAGTGGAGAGATAGCAATTCAGTACAAAACAGAGAGGGTTAAGGTTTAGATGTGTAGAGCAAGCAAAGGAGAAAAAACAAAAACAAAAAACCTCTAGAGAAGCATTTTACATTTGCAAACCCTTAAACTCTTACATGTGGATTTTTAAACATACCAATTAGCTATCCACCGCCTCCCACCAAAAGTTCAGGCACTCTGTGCACACCATAGTATATAGGCAGGGCACCTTGCAAAGAGGATGCTATTGTTAAATTGATACATATTTTGCCTGATAATTACTGGCTGTACATTAACTTCCTCATAACAGCATGGCATTTTCCTATCAAGTAAAAATCAGCAATTTTTGCTTTGGGAACGAATTAGTTATTAAGATACTGCAACAAGAACATGCTTTAATAAATAAATAGACGATCCTATGGCAATTCAGTGTTTTAAGGCATGTTCAAATGATTTTAATCCATCAACGGGGGGAAAAGATGCTCCATAAATGTCCAAAAGATGTGGATGATATTAAAGCACCACTGTTAATCTTTTTGGAAAGAACATTTATTACCAATAGTTCTAATCCTGATTAAAAAAAAAATGTTAAGTACTTTTGATGTATACCTTCAAGTTTCCACTGACTGAAGATCACTTTACTTTTGGTCTGACTAATAAAACTTGGGTTTAGTCAACTATTAAATACTTCTCTCTAAATAAACACCATGGTCAAGGTTTAAGATATCTGTATCAGTATCTCTGTCTATATATACTGGTCACCCCTGCAGCTATCATTACCCCCAACATACTTCATTTAGTGTTGATGCTTTTTTCCCCCTTGCAAATTAGGTACATTGCTGTTTTGATGAAAGCTGACGTCAAGCTCTTCTCTTTTCCCCATCCTTTTTCTTACCTTGTGGGTTTTTGGTTATCAATACAGGAATAGGGTCAAACTCATCTTCCGCCACTTTGTCCGAGCCCTCAGGGACATCAAAACCTGAGATGAGATTACTATCTTCTGCAGCTTAATACAGAATGCGAGTACACAAGCAGAAACAACAGAGGCAGAGATTAGCACATGCGAGAATGTGAAAGAGGCACCAAGTTCCCACCTATACAGTTCCTATTGTTTTTAAAGGTGAAAGCACTTAATTTTTCTGGGTTGAAATAAAAGTAGCAAAACTGGAAAATGTAGGGGTACAGAAAAAATGCTTTAGAACTGGTCATGTTAAGAATTTCAAAAATGACTAGAAGAGAAGAATTTTTGGAAGAAATGTCCCTACCATTTATGAGACTATTAACTGCAATTATTGTGTAGTTTCTCTGCAATGTCATTAATTTACAAAGGCACAGGAGTTATTCACTGGTCTTTATTGAAGAACAGAGGTCTGATTTATAATACTTGAAAAACTCCAAACTAAGGGCAGGGGAAGGGTAAAGAGAATCAGTGGCTCTTTAAGAAATAATCACTATATCAAGGTAAAAAATATTTTTGGAAGGATTCACTGCTCTGTCACTGGGAAGAATTTCAAACAATTCACATGCCCCAGGGAACGGTGGGGCACAAGATCCCACATACTGAGACCTCAAGCAGAAGTCTGTTAGAATATTCTTCTCCACTCTAGTTAAAGCTACTCTACCAAAGTGCTGACTGGGCAGCTATTTTGCAAGTGATGCTCTGTAATTACACATTGCTGCTGACAACTCCTGCCAGACATAACTGTTTCCCTCTATATACTCTATGAAAACATAATCATTTTACTGCTATCAGGAGTAAAAACAGAACTTAGATATTACCAGTGCAAACTATGGGCTCATATTTTTAGTTATCTCAAGGAGGGCTTCCTTCTTAAATTTCCTTCGGGATGGAGTTAAGCTATTCTTTTTCTGTGCATTTTCTCCTTCTAGAAAACCACTTTCACTACCCAATCATAGCAAATTCAGTAAATGCCTATGTCAGGCATTCAGCCTAACATTGCCACGAATGACTCACTAAACAGAACTCAATTCAAGCTCCCAGTAGGATTTCAAACCTGTGTTAACCCAAGACTAAGAAATGAAAAAGATAGATTAGAAATAGAGAAACCCACCAATTAATCATGACTTAACAGTGAACTAAAATTCAGAATTTTCACAAGTTCTATCTTGGGGGACTGACTTTTGAGGAATGATGCCTATTTCTTTCATGGAGCCATCACTATTCAAAAACCGAATCCCATTAATCCCATTTGATGAAACGATGTTAACGTTGTAAGCCCAACAAGCACCATATTAAAAATTACTGTCAGTGGACAGCCAGCTCAACCATCTCCCTGAGCTGCTGCAAAGGTACATAGCTGTCAAAAATAAATGGACTATCTGCACTTTAGGGTCTTTCTTGAAAGCAATACCTTCACCGAACAGTTGTCTGTCTTATTAAATAGTCTTAGTGTCTAGGCGTACAAACTTAGTTTCCCATATAAAGAGGTACTTAAAAATTTTTTGCTACAAAGACTTTTGATAAGGAAAACTCTCAGGAGTTTAGTTCATCTCCTCTAAGAGTACATGTGGGCCTAAGTAGAAGAAAGCATTTACCTTTATGGGCTGGAGCAGAGATTGCTATGGGGGCAAACTCTTCCAGGAGGTCAGTAGTAGGGTTAGAAAGCAGAGAGCAATCAAGGAGGGAATCTTCCCCGGTGAGAGAATCTGAGTCCAGATTATCAGCATCCCAGGTCAGTGATGGCATTAAGTGGCACACATAATAATACCATGAAATTAGATCTCAGCCTTTAAATTACTCCATTTACATGTTACACACACATACAAGTCAAGGTGGGAGAAAGAAAACCAAAAGAAACATGTTAAGCCCTCTGACTTCCACCTATAGAAAGATATATTTCTAGATTTCTCTTAACAATATACAAATTAAAGAGGATTTGTTTTTCAGAAGATGCAGTAAGTCTGTGATCTGGATAATTTCAGCAACACTGGGGCACAAGTGTTTCTCAGTTCTCAGCAAATGCCATTTGGGAAAAAGGACATTGCAATTAGAGTTTCACTCAAATGTTTCCTAAACACAATAGGATGAGGTAACCAAACCAATTAGTAGAGGGGCAACCCTGGCTTGTTCTTATTATAATGTGACATGTAGGCCTAAAGATTAAACAGTACTTTCCTCAACCGGATTCTCATTCAAAATGCTTCTTACTAGAATTCTTAAAATTTGAGTTGATCCTTTGAATATATGATTTTGGTTTCAGTTAAAGAATAGAAGGGAGATAAAATTCAGAGTTTAGCACTTTAACACAGGAATTGTTTTCTGGAAGTTTTCTAGGAGAAAACATCCAAGTGAGAGCAAGGAAAAAAAACCATGTTGTCTTTTGGAGTAATTTGTTTTTTCACCTGAATAAGTCTATCCTCACATTGCCTACACTTCTGGTTTTTTTGTTGTTGTTGTTGTTTTTTTTTTGAGACACAGTCTCACTATGCCACCCTTGATAGAGAGCTATGGTGTCAGCTCACAGCAACCTCCAACTCTTGGGCTTAAGCAATTCTCTTGCCTCAGCCCCCCAAGTAGCTGGGACTACAGGCTCCCACCACAACGCCCGGCTATTTTCTTGTTGCAGTTGTCATTGTTGTTTAGCTGGCCTGGGCCACCTTCAAACCCACCAGCCCTGGTATATGTGGCTGGTGCTGTAACCCCTGACCTATAGACGCCAAGCCTACATTTCTAATGGTTTCCATTCCATATTGAGAAATCAGATATTTGGGCGGCGCCTGTGGCTCAAAGGAGTTGGGCACTGGCCACATATACTGGAGGTGGTGAGCTCAAACTCAGCCTCGGACAAAAAAAAAAAAAAAAGAAAAGAAAAATCAGATACTTTTATCAAGGAAATCATGGACTAAAAGAAAAAACAATGACTATCAAATCTGTATTTATGGTCACTTAAGGAATTCTACTAAGACTGAATTTTGAAATTAGGGTGCAAGCAATGCTAGATCAGGGAAGATTTCAACTTTGTCTATAATTTCATACCAAATCATATATATATATATAGAGAGAGCACTGTGCTGGGTACAAAAGATGAGTTCCATAGACACCATTGACATTGTTAGATAGGAAACCTGGAGGAGTTAATAGCATCCTTACAGCTCAGCACAGTTCTTTAAGGCAGTAAAGGGAACCTACCACCAGTGAAAAGAATCTTGAATAAAGAAATACTATAGCCAGAGAAAGCCCAGGGATCACTCTACAAAGAACAGGACTCCAAAAAAGTTCTTCAACAAGGAACTATTCCCCTCAACATGTAGAAGCTGGGGCTGTAGGAATCCAGAGCATCCGTCTAGGAGGAACTAACAGCATCAGCTGGCACAGTGGCAACCTGGCTTGGAGGGCTCAAATCGACCAAGCCCTGCAGCTGCAGAAACACCTGACTGACCTGTGCGGTTGGAGGTCACAGATTCCGTCTGAGATGGGAGGCGCTGGGGAGCTGGAGGCTCCAGTCCTGGTATGAGACTCTCAACAGCAACATCAGCTTTTTCTTTCATAACAGAGGTTAAGAGAGGGAAAGGGTAAGGGAAAAGGGTCAGAAAGTTCTTTAGGAAATTCTGTGAAAGCTTTTTTCTAACAGGTCTCTACCATGCCAGTCTTAGGCAATAACTTTATTTCTGCTGCTTGGAGTGTATGGGGTTCACTGACTGAGCATACGTGTACCAAGTTAACTACTGTGGGCCGGTCTTAAGGACTAACAGTTCTCAGAGAGAAATTCAGAACACAAGATACTCAGCAAATCTCTTTCATGTCAGAATGGTACCTTAATTTTTTCTGGCAATTTTAATTTTCTTAAAATTTGGGAAACCTGCCGAGTGCAGTGTCTCATGCTTGTAATCCTAGCACTCTGTGAGCTCACAAGTTCAAGACCAGCCAGAGCCAAAAGTGAGACCCAGTGTCTAAAAACTAGCCCAGTGTTGTGGTGGGTGCCCGGGGTCCCAGCTACTGTAGAGGCTGAGGCAAGAGAATCTCTGGAGCCCAAGAGTTTGAGGTTGCTATGAGCTGTGATGCCATGGTACTCTACCAAGGGCAACAAATGAAACTCTGTCTCAAAAAAAAAAAAAAAATGTGGAAAACTTTTTAAGAGGCATACATCCTCTGTACTATGCAAATGCCATTAATCCATCTCAAACTCCATTCCATCACACAGTTGGGAGGTATTCTGTACTACGTGACATCTCTCAGCTGTAGGACCATTTTCTTCGTGAGGTAATGGCATTTTTCAGTTCTAAAATTTTTTTTCTCTTTTGAGACAAGGTTTCACCCTGTCACTTAGGCCAGACTGCAGTGGCATCATCATAGTTTATTAAAACCTGAGTGATCCCCTGCTCAGTCTTCCAAGTAGCTGGGACTACAGAGTGCATACCACCACATCCGGCTAATCTTTCTGTTTCTTGTAGAGATGGGGTCTTGCTCTTGAAGTTCTAGAACTTTTGTCCAAAGCACTACTGTGTCTCAAATGATTGGACCCTCCTGGAGGACAAGAACCTTGGACATATTGCAAGTCCCACCTGCCTTACTGTTAGAAGGAAAATGTGAGAAGAAGCAGGCCAAGGCCCTGCCCCAGATTCTATTCATGGAGCTTAACCACTGGACAAAGTCTTTTTTCAGTTACTGATACTTGGTATACACATGGGACTTCTAAAGAAGAGTCTGCTAAGTTCTATGAAGTTCAGTAAAGTTAAGGTCCAGTTAGAAACAAATTTTTTCTTTTTTCTTTTTTTTTTTGCAGTTTTTGGCTGGGGCCGGGTTTGAACTCACCACCTCCTATATATGGGGTCAGTGCCCTACTCCTTTGAGCCACAGGCGCCACCCGAAACTAATTTTTTCCATAAAATTTTTTGTTAGTGAAGTATGGATTTTTCCACATTCCTCCTCACTCCTAAGAAATTTACATTAGAAATCTCAGGGTATCAAGAAAGCAAAAATAACAGTATTGTACCCCTGGAAAGCAGAGAAAAACAGCTCATTTGGAGTGATAACAAGCAAGATTCTGGGTCAGCACAAGGAATAGCTCCCAAATGAGAAGGCTTTGTGGCATTTCCACTCCTCACCAGGGCTGTCCACTAAGGCTCTGTTAAGTAGGTTATTTGTCATCAACCTGTGGGTCACAACCCCTTTGTAACAATGAAAATACATCACGGCATTAGGAAGGTCAAGAACCACTGAAATAGACACACATATCATGCATGACTGAAGAAACAGAGATGACGACTTTACCAATTACTGCATCGGAAGTACTACCAAAAGGATCTGTCATAGGCAAGATGTCAGGGAGCAGAAGAGAAGTGTCAGGAGATTTGAGTCCCTCAATTAGTTTTTCTAGGTTAGGAAGAGAGGCAAAGAGAAAGTAAAAATGCAATGAGATGTTAATACCAGCAGACCATTGAACATTTTCTATGCAAACACATTTTAGGGATCAATATTGGGTATAGATTCACCATACAGGAATACTATTAGTAACTCGTTAACAATAGGCTTTCAAAATGTGAAGTTTAAAATGATTTTCTCCCAAGTAGTCACTTTGTGTGGCATTTAAGATGCTGCCCTAGGTTTTATCTTCTTCTTGTTCTGGAGGTATAATTTACATATAATAAAATTCATCAATATTAGGTGTACAATTTGATTAGTTCTGACAAATTTACAGATTCATACAATCACTGAAATGAGGATATAGAACATCCCAGCACCCACACAAGCTCCTTTGTGCTCTTTACAGTCAATACCTTCTCTCAGCCCCAGACCCTGGCAACAATGGATCTGCTTCCTGTCTCTATAGTTTTGTGTGTTTGGGAATTTCCTATAAATGAAACTATACAATATACAGACCTTCTTGTTTGGTTTCCTTCATTTAGCATGATGCTTTTGAGATTCACCCATGTGGTGGCATGCATCAATCTTTTGCTTTGTTTTGCTGCTGAATAGCGCTCCACTGTATGGACATGCTACATTTTGCCTGTCCGTTCACCAGTTAATAGATACTTGGTTATTTCCAGTGTTTAGCTATTAAAAATAAAGCTGCCATAACATTTGCACACCAGTCTTTCTGTATTCATTTCCCTTCCTGTTCTTAGTTTTTGATCTATTTTTTATACTTGTATTTAGAAACAGTTTATAACTCACCAAGAGAATCAATTTACTCAAATCTAAGTTAACTTCCAACAATCACTATTGTCTGCCAACTGCATACCTGTGACATGCTGGTACTCTTAATATTCTGTGGCCACATTTCACAAAATTCATTTAAACCTAAAGATGATGTCTTCTGGCCAAGAAGCAAAAGGATGTCAGAAGCCACAAGATCTGTTATATCCAGTTTTTATTTTTAATTAATTAATCAATCTTATTTTGTTATTATTATTCTTATTTTTTGAGAAAAAGTCTCACTCTGTTGCCCTGGGTAGAGTGCTGTGGAGTCATCATAGCTCATAGCAACCTCAATCTCTTGGGCTCAAGTGATCCTCTTGCCTCAGCCTCTTGAGTAGCTGGACTATAGGCGCCCACAACAACGTCTGATTAGTTTTTCTATTTTTAGTAGAGACAGTGTCTGACTCAGGCTGGTCTTGAACTCCTGAGCTCAAGCAATCCATCTGCCTTGGCCTCCCAGAGGGTTAGGATTACAGATGTAAGCCACTGTGCCTGGCCCATTTTTAATTTTTTAGAAATAGGGCTCACCCTATTGACCAGCTGAAGTATAGTGATGTGATCATAGCTCAGTGAGGTCTCAAACTCTGGGGTTAAACAATTCTACCTCAGCTTTCCAAATACCTAGGACTATAGGCATGTGCCACCACACTTAGCTCCTTTTTTTATTTTTTAGTAAAGAGAGGATCTTGCTATATTGCCCAAACTGGTCTCAAATTTTTGGCCTCAAACAAGTCTCCTGCTTTGACCTCTCAAACATGCTGGGATTACAGGCATGAGCCACCTCACCCAACCTCACCAGGTAACATAATGTTTCACAATATGCATAAGGTAAAATTCCTTCCAAAAGTATTTGTTTAGTTCTGATACATCAAGAACTCTAACTTGAGTTGGAGCACTAACTTGAAACAAAATAATGAATCATGGTAAAATGTGAGGAGGAGACAGAACAGGTCTATCAGAGGGGTAGATAAAGGTACTAAGAGATAGGAGACCTGGGTTTGATACTAAGTTTGTGCAGCACTTTGGGAAGATCTCTTACTCTCTCCAGATCTAAATGTTCATAATACAATGAAGATAAACTTAAAGACCCTATCTACCACTAAAAGCCAGTCACTCAATGTGAAGGGAGAAATAGAATTACTTCTATTGAAGATACAAACTGGTAATAACAGCAGGAGGCAAGATTAATGGCTCCAAGGTAGCAGGTTTGGGGAAATGTGGAGACCTACCTCAACATGCTTTTCAACATGTAAACTCAGCCCAGAAAGGCACAGTGAGAATGGGGTGAGAAGGGAGAAAGACTTAAGCTCACACCTTACTTAGAAAAAGAACAAACTTCTATTGTCTTTCTCCTTACTACAAAACTGGTGCCAGGCTGGGCATGGTGGCTCATGCCTGTAATCCTAGCCCTTTGGGAGGCTGAAGTGGAAGGAGGGCTTGAGGTCAGGAGTTTGAGACCAGCCGGAGCAACATAGTGAGACTAATCTCTAAACAAACAAACAAATAATTTAGCTAGGCATAGTGTCATGTGCCTATAGTTAGTTCCAGCTACTCTGGAGGGCTAAGGCGGGAGGACCATTTGAGACTAGGATTTAATGGCCAGACTGGGTAACAGCGCAAGACCCTATTTCAAAAAAAGGAGAACTAGTTTCTTGAGGGAAATTTGGTAAATATAAATAAGCCAAAGGATAAAAGTAAAATTATCTATAATTCTACTTTTAAATATATCTACTATTAAGAGTTCTAAATGAACATCCTTTCATTCTTTTCCTATAAATTCTAACACTCAAATATCTAAATATACTCATGTTTTCTTAGAATAATTTCTGAGAAGTACAGTTTTTTAGTGAAAGAAAACATAAAACCCTAAAGACTTTGTTATAAACTGATAGACTGTCCTCCCAAAAAGTTGTACTTTGATATTCCTATTAGCAGAATATGAAGGTGTTCATTTTCCTATATCTTTATCAACTCTGAATTGTTTTTTATCTTTACCAATTTAGTGGAAATCACAGCAGCTCACTGGTTTATAATTGACATTTCTTAGATTCAACATAACAATAAGCTTTTATAAAAATACTGCCTGGGGGCGGTGTCTGTGGCTCAGTGAGTAGGGCGCCGGCCCCATATACCGGAGGGTGACAGGTTCCAACCTGGCCCCAGCCAAACTGCAACAAAAAATAGCTAGGTGTTCTGGTGGGCACCCGTAGTCCCAGCTACTCAGGAGGCTGAAGCAAGAGAATCGCCTAAGCCCAGGAGTTAGAGGTTCCTGTGAGCTGTGACGCCATGGCACTCTACCGGGGGTGATAAAGTGAGACTCTGTTTCTTAAAAAAAAAAAAAATACTGCCTGGTAATTTATGTTTTCTTTTTTGAACAGTCCATATTTTTCTGTTGGTGATGTTTCCTTATTACATTCCTATCAGCACACTCTGTTCTTTCTCAAGTCTTGAGGGTTGAAGATAAAATGAGTCTGGGTGAGAGCTTAGAGAGGCACTGAAATCATGGTTAAGGGCCTGGAAAGGTGAACCCTTGAAGAAAAAGGGTAGCAGTATTTCTTTTCAAAATTAAGGGGAGAGGTGAGAGAAAGGGGGTCTTCTCTTTGAGCATCTCCTCCTCTCTGGGGAGAAGAGGGAAGAAGGAAGTTGCGAAAGTTGGAGTGAGGAACTAATCTACTTCAGATTCTCCTCACAGGACCTTTAATAACTAAGCCTCTCAAGACTTAGTCATTAGGGCCCGGTGCCCATAGCACAGTGGTTACGGCACTAGCCATAGGCACCGAGGTTGGTGAGTTTGAGCCGGCCCGGGCCAGCTAAACAACAATGACAACTGCAACAAAAAAATAGCTGGGTGTTGTGGTGGGTGCCTCTAGTTCCAGCTACTTGGGAGGCTGAGGCAAGATAATCGTTTAAGCCCAAGAGTTGGAGGTTGCTGTGAGCTGCAATACCACAGCACTCTACAGAGGGTGCCACAGTGAGACTCTGCCTCAAAAAAAAAAAAAAAAAGTAGTCATTAAAAATATCAACTACAAAACAAGAAGGTAATAAATGCTTCACAATCTAGTCTAAGATTAGGTAATTAAAACCATTTCCTGACGTGAGACTAGGGGGGAGATACTACATGTTATGGCTTTTCTCTCTTTTAAAATATCAAAAGAGAGTGTAGATTTCTATTTATACAGGTTAATAAAACCAAGGGCTTGGTCAAGGTCATTTTGATCCTAATCAGGAATATGAACTGGAGTAGAACAGGTTGAACTAGCAAACATAGGACAGCCCGATAGGATCCCAGCAAAAAAGATGATGTGGCCAGTCCAGCTTTATTTGGAAACCTGTGTCTCATCTGACTTGGGGTGTAAGTCCTGAGGTCTTGTGATGAGAGATGACGTTTTAAAAATGAAATGAGATCTAGTCACTCTAAATAGTTTCCATCATTGAGAATCCAGACGTTAGACCATCTGTGACATCTGCAAATTAGAAGCAAAAGTCAAACACAATCCCCTATTCCAAGTCCATTTGGAAGAATTAAATCTGCAGGAAGATAAACTTTTGAGAGTAAAAACATATATTATGATCAGCTTTGGACTTCACAATATCTGTAGTCACAAACGAGGACAATGCCAGGCACACAGCTGTGGAGGAATGCCCATCTTGACAACAAACCACTAAGAAAACACAGCTTTTCTTGCTTAACATTTCAAGAGATGGTAAAGTGCCATCAACCAAAGGGTACTTTAAAAAAAAAAAAGTGTCGGCTCGGCGCCTATAGCTCAACCGGCTAAGGCGCCAGCCACGTACACCTAAGGTGGCGGGTTCGAATCCCCAGCCCGGACCCGCCAAACAACAATGACGGCTGCAACCAAAAAATAGCCGGGCGTTGTGGCGGGCGCCTGTGGTCCCAGCTGCTTGGGAGGCGGAGGCAGGAGACTCGCTTGAGCCCAGGAGTTGGAGGTTGCTGTGAGCTGTAATGCCACGGCACTCTGCCCAGGGGGGACAGCTTGAGGCTCTGTCTCAAGAAAAAAAAAAAAAAAAGTGTCTCTAATACTAGGAAGTAGCACTCAGGGGACAACTAATGCATTCTTGCTCAGTCTTATGGAACACCAATATCAAGAGATCTGTATCGAAGAGTTGTTAAAAATGTCATTTCCTCAAATCTTTGTGCATAGCTGGTAGAAATA